GGCTTAAAGCTTGAAGTATCGGTTGAAGCTGGCACAGTACATACTATGTAACCTTAGACCCCTAAACCCCTAAACTCTTCAACCGCCCTAAACCCCTAAACCCAAAACCCCGAAACCCCTAAACCCCTAAACCCGGACCCTGGGCGCTAGACCGCCAACCCGAACTCTACCAGGGCGGAACGGCTGGAAGGCCCTTTGGCGCTGCCTCTTTGGCCTGGTAGGGGATCCACACTAAGCTGGTCGTGCAGGGTTTAGGGTTTAGGGTTTAGGGTTTAAGGCAGTTTAGGCCAGGGCCTTATAAGGCTTTCTAATAGGAGGTGCTGTAAGGTTTTAGTGGGCTTTATGGAGCCGTAGACGTGTTGGGGGTTAGGGCTTACAAGGGTTTAAGAGCGTTTTGTCGGTCTTGCACGGTTTTACAAGGGTTTGAAAAAGCAAGGCTTCGGGTTCGGAGGTTTTGAGTTAGGTCAGGATAGCTTAAGGCTTGGAACTTTGAGTTCTTGCATGAAGGAAATGCTAAGCTCAACTCTAAACCCTAAATCCCTAAACCCATAAACCCCTAAAACCCTTAAACCCTAAACCCCCAAAACCCTTAAACCCTAAACCCCTAAAACCCTTAAACCCTAAAACCCTAAAACCCTTAAACCCTAAACCCTAATTCCAAAAATGTCGCGACCTCGCCTGGGAGGCTTCGGGTCTCTCATCCCGATGCTCCCAGAGAGCGGAGTCTTGCAACCAGGAGAGAAGCAAGTAGGTCATTTCCTGGTGGTTTAGGGTTTAGGGTTTAGGGTTTAGGGTTTAGGGTCTAGGGTTTAGGGTTTAGGGTGTAGGTCATTTCCTGGTGGTTTAGGGTTAAGAACTCAGGCGTTTAGGTTCAGGGTTTAGGTTTAGGGTTTAGGTTTAGGGTGTGGGGCTCAATGAGGGTTTAAGGCTGTTTTTAGGGCCTCTTTCGTCGCTTGCACTTCGAAGCCCGTATTGGGTTTAGGGTTTAGCTTCGCGGTCTTGGGCCATCTCCTGCACAGATACAGTGGACTGCATGGGATTTGTTAATTAGAATAAGCTGTTGGAGTATCTTATACTGTACTCGCCATCGTGGAACTTCGCGGCATAACTAACCCTAAACCTAAACCCTAAACCGTAACACTAAACCTGCATGCCCGGCTCTCTCCCTCTCTCTCTCACACACGGACTCAGTCACCTGTCAGCCGCGACGCAAGACGCTGAGGGAAACTGCCTGCAGATAGTCGCAAACTGTCTCTGTCAAGTCTCAGCTTTCTTTAATATGCAAGGTGCGCTTTCTCTGCAGCCCCGCCCCCGACGCTCACTCACTCACTGTGGGCCGGGCAACCCTTCCGGCCGGGGTCGGGGTGCGTCTTTTGTGTTCGGGACCCCACCGCCCCGGGCGTTGCTCACTCACTCATTGTGGGCCTGGGCCGCGACACTTCCCGGACTGGGTGGTGTTTTTCGTTCCGGCCCAACCGAACCCGGCGAGCCAACAACCAAAAATGTCTGGTTTACCACATCGCGTGTAAAAAGACCCGGTGGGGCAGCAAAAACAAACGACACTACTTCCGCCGTACCCGTAAACCTATATTAACCCTAAACCCCTTACTCATAAACCCTAAACCCCTAAACCCTAAACCCCTTATCCTTAAACCCTATACAGGCCGATTAAACCCCTTACTCATAAACCGCTACACCCCAAACCCTCAACCCTAAACCCTAAACCTAAACCCTAAACCCTAAACCCTAAACCCTAAACCCCAAACCCTCCCTCAGCTCCTCCAAGCTCACTGTGCCACCTTTGGGCTCTTGAGTGGAGGTCAGCGACCCCACGGCTTGCGACCAAAATCTGACAAAGATTGCGGCTCCGGCTTCAGGGTTTAGGGTTTAGGGTTTAGGGTTTAGGGTTTAGGGTTTAGGGTTTAGGGTTTAGGGTTTAGGGTTTAAGGTTTAGGGACAACGGCTTTCGGGTTTTGCGGGGAAGCGGCTTGGGTTTGCAGGTTTTGAGGCTGTGGATTTAGGAACTGTGGGTCTTGGGCTTTGGGGTTCGCTTGGCTTGAAGGGTTCCCCAGCGTTGACAAGGCTTCAGAGTTTAAGGCTCTCAGGCATGAATATATGTGTAAATATATACAGACATACAGACATACATACATGCACGCGCGCACGAACATCGTACAATATAGCATCACATGGTATATAGTTAATACAGCAAAGTGCGGTGGAATATATTCCTTTCGTTTTACCTGAGAGACTCGACCTCATTCCCCGAAGCAGCGATGTCTCGATGCAATCAGGCTTAAGGGTTTAACTTTAATTGGGGCTCAGGAGGTTTAAGGGTTTGAGAGTTTGGGGCGTAGGGAGTGTATACAGTGTGCGTGCGATGGGTGCGCCTTCGAATACAGGAACAGGGGTGCACCCACCTATCGCGCGCTTGTTTCAGCAGTCCCGCCCCAACCACCCCAACTATTGCCAATTAAGGCGTTTAGGGTTCAACTTCCCTCAACTGGGCTTTCTTGCTTTCAGTTCTACATAAAACGACCACATTTCACAGCAAACCACAGCAGATACTGGTGTCGGGTTCCGGGTCCTCGCGGCATGCGCCGGCTGCTCCACGAGAAGCAAGGGTTCCCAACAAGCAACCCGCCCTTGGCGCCCTGTGAAAGTCCCTCGACGTGTACACATCTGCTCGTGAGAGGTTTGGGGCGGCCTTGCAAATTGAGGTTAGCCGGCATTGGCACCCGGCCCCTGAAAGAGTGCTTTTTTCAAACAATATGTCCCGACATTCCGGCCTGCTGAAAAAATCAATTGGCAGAAAACCGTGCAGCTCTGAAAGCGCTGCTGAAAAAGTTCTGTGCATGTCTAGCACCTGAATCGGACAGGTCGCCCCCGGACCGGGACCGCCTGGAAGGCCTCAGACCCTTCTTTGTGGGTACCCCCCAGACCCTGCCAGGCGGACCCAAACAACACCTCATAGACTCGGCTGACGCCCGGATTGTGTGAAGCCTCTCGAGCGCGTATGCAAATGCTCACCGGCGCTCTCGGCAGTTTAGGGGTTGAGGGTTCAGGGCTTTGGGGTCTAGGGTTTAGGGTCTACGCTCCTCAGCAAAACCCCGTTGCCCTGTTTCACAATACAGTATAAAACAATGTAGAATATAATATGCTACAATATGAAGTAATTGAAAAAATATCATAAAAATGTAGCGGTATCATATAGTAGTAGAATATGGTATAGCATAACACAGGCCGCTACCCTGAGTAGCTGCTAGGGCATCTTCCACGCGTTGAGTCGATTTGGCCCAGAGAAGACTTAAGCAGAGGACTGCTGCAGCTGCTTTTCGACGACGACGCGGTTTAGGGTTTAGGGTTTAGGGTTTAGGGTTTAGGGCGCTGCAGTAGGGTTTAAGTTGTTTTTACAGTTGGGCTTTAGGGTTTACGGTTTAGCTGACGGCTTCTACATCACAGCCAAAAGATCCCGAAAGCCCAGTGCAGGCCATGCGGCAGCGGGTATGCAGACCTTGCTTCAGCAGTTTGCAAGGAACAAGTCTTTGAGCTTCCAAGCCCTATAGGGTTTACACAGGTTTCTATGGGGTTTATAAAATCATCAGGGTCTCTGTTATATTTATATATGTATAAATGTATATCCATGTGCTTCTTATGGATGTAGCGGTTCCAAGGTTTCGAGCTTAGTACTCATGCATGGGACACAGGACCAGGGCCCAGGGCATAGGTTTGAGCTTCGGGTTCGGGGTGTAGGGTTTTTAGAGCACACCAGCGTCCTTGCAAGATATACCAGGGATGCCAAGCCCAAACGCATCAACATGAAACGAAAAGATGCATTTTTGTGCACATACTCAAGATGTGTAGGTATGTATGTATGTATGTATGTATGTATGTATGTATGTATGTATGTATGTATGTAATACAATGTATGTATGTATGTATGTACGTACGTATATATGTATGTATGTATGTATGTATGTATGTATGTATGTACGTACAGTTGTAACCTCAAAAATTATGCGCCACGCTCTGTTCTTCTATGTCATACTATGCCAGATCTACTGACAGACAGACTGAGAGATGAATCAGCGGACACGTGCATGAGTGCGTAATTAAAGCAGAGCTTCGACAAAAACCCTGAAGGTGCTCAACCCTGAAACCTAAACCCCAAAATCTCAAGAAATGTTTATTAATGTCACGAAAAAGACCACAAGCCCCTGAAATCCCACAACAATAGATTTGTAGTACACCGTAGTATGCTTTTTGTATATAACGGTATGTGATAGTATACTAGAGTACAGTTACAGTATAACATAGTATATCAAAGTTTTTGGGCCAAAATATCTTACACAAAACCCTCAACCTATTCTCCGCCGAAACCCTAAACCCTAAACCCTACACCCTACACCCTAAACCCTAAACCCTAAACCCTAAATCCTGGAACCCTAAACCTTAAACCCTGAACCCCACCGGTGACCAAGGGACATGCTCGCAGCCCGGTGCGCTTCATCGAAAAGGGCGGCCAGGGGCAGCTCGTTGCCAGCCTCGCACGAAGGCTCTTTGGGGTCTAACATAGGGTTTAGGATTTAGGGTTTCAGGGTTTAGGGTTTATTTAGGGTTTGGGGCTCCAGGGTTTAAGGTTTAGGGTTTACGGTTTTGGGTTCAGGGTCTTAATAATTAGAATAGGGTTTTGGGGAAAGCTATAATAAGGAGCCCCCAAATGGTATTGTTAAGTATTCAGGCTCCTACACTAGGTTTCAGGGTTCTTCTGAAGTCAGGGTTCTTGTAAAGGGCTTAAAGCCCGGGTTGTGAAAAAAAGGTGTTTATGGTATTTCTTTCAAGGGGCTTAAGATGTAGAGGTTTGGGGTTTAGGGTTCATTTAAAGGAATCAAGTAAGTTGTTGGGGGCTTTGGGTTTGAGAATCTCACATCCTTAACCTTCTCAAGAAGCATCAAACACCGACCCTGATAAAAGAAATCATCAGGGCAGGCTTCTAGCCTGACAGCCAAAATACTAATTAGACGATGAAGCTCTGTTTACCAAAAGCGCAGAGAGTATTTCAACAGAAACACTGGCAGTTGCATTCGTTGATGTTGTAATGACAAGCCCTGAACTCTAAGCACCCCAAACCTTAACCCCGAAAAGCCTCTAAGGCTCTAGACCCCACACACTACACCATCAAGCGATAAAAAAAAAAGCATCAACATGCGGGCCCCGACGGTATTCCTTATGACAACCAAACTCGAAACCCTAAACCCTGAACCCTGAACCCTAAACCCTAAACCCCTTGTCGCAACCTTAGAGTAAGACCTTTGTAAAGGCCCAGAAACCTCGGAGGAGCCGCCCGCAAAGGACTCTTCCAGGAGTCGCAGCACCCGGTCCCTTAGCATCTCCAGCCTCGGGTTTAGGGTTTAGGGTTTAGGGTTTAGGGTTGAGGGTTTAGGCTATGATTGTGGGTGGTAGTCGTAGCAGGAGGAGTTTAGTAGTCGTAGCAGCAGCAGGATTTTTTTTGTAATAGTAGTCGTAGTAGCAGTAGTAGTAGTAGCAGTAGTAGTAGTAGTAGTAGAAGTAGTAGTAGTAGTAGTAGTAGTAGTAGTAGTAATAGTAGTAGTTGTAGTACTAGTAGTCGTAATAATAATACTAGCAGTAATAGTAATAGCAGTAGTAGTAGTA